TCCCAGGAAGGCTAGGCTGGACACAGCTTATGGTCCAACTGGAGGCCAGAGTCATAGAAGGGGACAGATCACTGCAAGGCCAAAGTAGCTAACAACTGGGGACACCAAGACAGAAGGTTGCCGTTGGCATTCCAACAGCCTTTGTGGGAGGTAGATCCCTTCACAAGTCAGTAGCAGCAGGCCTAGTGAGCAGAGATTATCTGAACCTCAGAGATCTGTGTATGCTGCTGCTTCATGTAAATAGTTCCTTCTGAACAGGAAGTAATGTGCAGAGGGAGGAGTCATGCTGTCGGTGACAAGAGGAGGCTGTGTGGCATGGCAGAGGGGCCTCATACTGTGCAGATTATGTTTATTTTCTCTGTGGCGGCTATTTAGATCCATAGGATAAGAAAGCTACACCTCCCTCCAGCTCTGAAAAGCACCAGTCAGTCTCCAAAAAAAGAACAGGGATCTGTATTAGGTCTGGTCTTGTATAACGTTTAGGATTGCCAGGTGTCCGGTTTTGAACTGGACAGTCTGGTATTTGAGCTTTCTTCGGGAAACACATTGAGAAAATATAAATGAGAAAATATAAGTGTCCGGTATTTTCTAAATAATATGTAATGTAGATTGTGATGTAATGGCAAGTGTGTCTAGTATTTTTGTTGAAACCATCTAGCAACCCTATTAACATTCTAATGCTCTAAAACAGTGAATAAATGGCATGTTAATAAAACTTGCAGAGGATACTAACTTGGATGGTGTAGTACTAAAGAGGATTGAAATAAAGCAAAGAATGGAGAAATCTGAAACATTGGCAGAAAGTTAATTGAAATTCAGCTAAAAAAATGCAAGCAAATACTATTTATTGGTGGAAAACTAACCCAGGGAGAAATAATGGGAACTGGTAATGCTGAAAGAGACTTTGTCATGACAGAGGACAGCAAATTAGGTGTGATTTTGCAGTATGATATGCTCATAAAAAGGTCAGTGTAGTTTTGGACTATAGATAGACAGGTATGATATCTTTGGCAGGAAGGGAATAGTCTTGTGCTCCTAGAATATCTTTCATCTCACCGCATATCAGGGCTGAGATCCTACTATGTATCTGTACATTGCCTCACAGAATGGCTGCTCAGTGTGAACAGTTCTCTAGGCAGTGCTTAGTACTGTATTACATATCATTAATTATTACCAGAATCCTATTGGTAAACTGGAGATATTAAAGTGAAAAGCAACAAATAAAGGGTGCTAGATGTTTGGGGAGAAAGATTAAACAAGTTATAGATGTATCTCTTGCATCTATAATTTGTCTGGTCATTGATATTAATAGAATATTTTGCTTTTTATGATGTACCTGAAAACATGATTTCTTCACTACTTGCATTGGCAAGGTAATTCCCATTCTCCTTCTTTATCGTCTTCAAAGAGTAAATGTTCTTTCTTTCATTTTGTTTTTATTATTATTATTATTATTATTATTATTATTGCAGGGACACAAGAAATAAGTTTAGTTCTAGTCTTGATCAGAAGACTAATGAGTGAATGTGTATCTTTCCATGTACTACAGTGGGCTTGGGATCAGGCCTGCAATGAATACAGTTTAGAATTCAGACCAGGTGGCCTGATCTCCCTCTAGTTTCCTGACAAACCGTGCAGTCCAAGTCTGGAAATCTACGCAAGGTGGAGAGTGAGAGATACGACCCCAAAAATACCACTTATGTTACCTCATTCACTTCATGGGTCAAGCAGGAAACCTCTCTGCCTGCAAAAGGACTTTGACGATTAGCATTGGCATTGAGATTTACTTTTGGCAATTTTTTTTATAATGTGTAAATGATCTGTGACCAGAGCCTGGGCTCCAGCTTGAGCCCAAACTAGGGATGCTAACTATCAGTTATTTTACTAGTCCAGTTGTTGATGGAATTTCCATCGACTACTCGACTAGTCGATAGGCACTTTCGTATTCCTCCTTTGAAATGTACAGGAGCTCCGCTGGGGCTCTTGTAAATTTCAAAGGAGGAATGCGGAACTCCACGAGCAGCCCGGGGCCAGCGAGAAGTCCTGCTGACTCCGGGCTGCACAGGGTGTGTCAGCTTTGAAATGTACAAGAATCTCCGTGTAGCATTTCCCCAGAACCCTGGGTCAGCTGAGGTGTCCCCAGGTGACTCCAGGCTCCACACGCAGCAGCGCCTCACAGCTGATCCAGGGCTCATCTGGGCGGCGCTGTCTCGTTCAAACGCTGAGGTGGCATTTCAGAGGGACAGTGCTGCACAGCTGAGCCAGGGATCAGCTGTGCAGCCCTGTCCCTTTGAAGTACCCACTCTTCCCCCCATTGATGCCTCTGATAGAGGCAGCAGGAGAGGGGGCTAGAGGGAGATTGATTAGTCGACTAGTCCTTAACATGTCTAGCCCAACCATCTACACAGTAGTTACACAGTGCCATACCCGAGCTTTGGAAACAGCCCAAGTCAGCTAGTGTGGGCCAGCTGTGAATGTCTCATTTAGTGTAGACACATTCATGAAGTCTTGCTATTTGATTGGCTCAGCCATAGCTTCAAGCACATTTGCAGTTGTCCATCGCCCAAACAATTGATTGGTGGTAGCCAGCATAACAGTGCTTCTTCTCATCCTCCCTACAGAATTTAACATGTTGACATGCTGAACAGCTTATCTCTCAGGGTATGTCTACACTACCCCGCTAGTGCGAACTAGCGGGGTAATGTAGGCATACCGCAATTGCAAATGAAGCCCGGGAAATTCAAATCTCGGGCTTCATTTGCAATTGCGGTATGCCTACATTACCCTCCTATTTCGAAATAGGAGGGTAATGTAGGCATACCGCAATTGCAAATGAAGCCCGGGAAATTCAAATCTCGGGCTTCATTTGCAATTGCGGTATGCCTACATTACCCTCCTATTTCGAAATAGGAGGGTAATGTAGGCATACCGCAATTGCAAATGAAGCCCGGGAAATTCAAATCTCGGGCTTCATTTGCAATTGCGGTATGCCTACATTACCCTCCTATTTCGAAATAGGAGGGTAGTGTAGACATACCCTCTGACAGCAAAAAGAATAATTGTTGAAGGGATGAGGGGAGGGAAGTAATGGAGGAGAATGGGGTCATACACACAGTTCTTGACCTGTAAGATAATGGGGGTCCTTACCCTATGGGAGGAAAGAATGGGGGAGCAGGGTGAAATGGAGGGAGGAGAATAATAAGAGTTCATACAGAACCCCTGCTCATGGGGGGAGAATGGGAAACCCTGCTTTGGTAGGAGGAGGAAATGGGGGCACACAGACCCCCAGAAAAGGGAAGATTGGGGAACTCTGATATAGGTGAAAGAAGGGAGGAAAGGAGAGTAGGGATGTACACAGAGCAGAGGAGAAGAGGAGCAAATGGGAGAAAAGGAGCTATCCAGAGGCCCTGTTATTGAGGGGATGGAAGGTGGCAATGGTGACGCACACACCCTTGCAGAAAAGCTATTTCAGGGTAGCGAGGAGAGCCTTATCCACCTGCCTGAGAGGGCGGGGAAAGTCTGCTGCAGACCCTTGGATTCTCATTTGAGATAGGATGGCCTGTTAGCCACAGAGTCTGTGTACAGCACTTTGCACTCAGGGCAGTATGGCCTAGTAGCCACAGAGTCCAAACATTTCCCCTTGCGTTCCAGGTTACTCGATCTAGTGGCCACAGAATTGGTACACCGTATGGCCCAGGAGTCTCAGTCAACATATAGCCCCCCTGTATTCAGGGTAGTATGGCCCACCTGCCACAGTGTCCATTCACACTTCCTCTCAGAGCAAGGTTAATATATAGTAGACAGTGCTCCCCCATGTGGGGGGTATCTATCTGAGGATGTGGATAGGGGGACCTGGACTCACCCTCTCCACTGGGTCCCAGCCCAGGGCCCTATTAGCAGTGATGCAGCCCACTGCTAACTCTGTGGGGAGTCCTACTGCAACACACCAAGCTCTGGGCTACTTCCTACCCAGATCTTACTAGAAGTCCTCTCTGTCTTCACACTTAGGTCCTATGGCTTCTACTGCAGTCCCTCTTGGCCTGGCTGCCGTCATGCAGTCTGGCTGTGCTTCCTCCCTTGGAGCTCCTGCAGCATCTCCTTCCCCTGCTGCCGTCAGTCCTGACTGAGCAGCTCCAGAGGATTTTATAGCCCGCCTCCAGTTGGAGCATGCCCAGCAAGGCTGTGAGGTTGGGGCTGTATCAGCCTGTTTGTCCAGGTTAACCTGTTCGGCCTCAGTGCAGGGTTGATACACCCCATCACACAGGGATTGCAGGGAGTCCTGGAAAAAATGGCACTGTGGGAGGGTGACACGCAGAGAGGTTGTGGGGAGTAGAATAGAAGGATGCAAGAAGCCCCTGCTGTGTGCCATGAACTCAGTCTACATAAGCTACATAGTATGGTGACCTACTGCTTGTGCTTTTGCTAAACAATCCATAGATCAGGGTAGAAAGTGCCCTTATCAAGTTACTTTTATTCACCAGCCTATCTGGGCTCTAGGACGTTATTGCTAAGACACCTTCTGCATCTGGAAGAAATGGCTGCCTCATGAAATCCATGTATTCTTTGTTACTCTAAGACCATAAAACTCTCAGTTCTCTTGCCATTCTATACAGGTCTAGTTCTCCCTGAACAACCCAAATAGTAAATCAAAGTGCCATGCGCTCACCCAAGAAAATAGTTTTCAAAGGAAAAATATATATCTTATTCAGTCACCAGCATATGTGCTGCACATCCCCATTATAAATCACAAGTCAGAGCTACAGAAGAGTGATTAGTCAACTTCCAGGTATTTTCCATTTGTATTGCCCTGTAAAAGTAAACAGATATTTTTCATTTCTTTGTAGTTGTTAGAGTAAGATATATCGATTGGAGGTTTGCCAAGAGCCAGTAACTTTTCACTTTTTGTTGACACTTTCAGATCCCTAATTTTAGACATACAGAGCATGGAAACAAAATAAAATGTTTATTTTTTCTCTCCCGCACTTCTCTGCTTTTCTCAGAATATCTCAATGCATAACACAGTTGGAGGAGCAATGGCAGGACCTGGAACCCACCAGCTCACAAATACTAGGATGCCAAACCACGACACCAGCGTTGTGATTCAACAAGCCATGCCATCTCCACAGTCCAGCTCGGTCATAACACAAGCACCTTCCACAAACCGTCAGATTGGGTAAGTCCATTCCTTTTTTTTTCTGTTTTTTTTTCTCCCTGGCAGTTGTGGCATAAGCTCCTATGTTATCCTCTGGATACTACAAGGGTATACACAAACATGTGCTGATCCCATCACGAAGCTGGAGAGACTCCTATAATATGTGATGCACAGCATGTGGAAGAACAGCCACCATTCATGTCGCTATTCTACAACCAATGTTTTTGGCTCTGTGATACTAGGTTGCTGCATTTGGATGGACTTTCTGCTTTGTTTTTTGTTTTTATGTTATTAAATTCCAAGTTCAAAACTTTTCTTAAAACTCTGTTGGGAAGAAGGAAGACAGATGGCATTTCTAGACCTGAGCCTTCCGAGTGCTAAGTGCTTTACTTCCTAGTTACTCCATTGGGAGAAGAGGATGCTTAGCATGTGGCAGGGATATTTAGCACCTTGCAAGATTAGGCCCTCTGCCAAGAGACAAAGTAGAAAGACAATCTAGGAAATATTAAGGTAAATGAAGTTTTGGCACGGAAGACCTTTTTGAAATGGTGCCTAATTTAAATGGTAGACCAATATTTATTCCCACATAACTGATTTGTAAGTTCTTTTGCTGACAGGAGCCATATTGTGAACTGTTGTGGTGGTTACAAAAGCTTTGTGATGTCTGTGCGTAAATATTCAGAACGGCATGCACAAAATACGTTCACAAAAGTTACTTTAACTGCGCATGGAGTCGTCATAACATAAGCTAAAAAGACTAGTTTATTTGTAAATATATAAATATTGTATATGTCAATTGTGCACACAGTTTTGCATGTACAAGCTAGAAAACTTGGGCCTTTGCACCTGTTCAAAATATAAAAACAGACTCAACAGTTATAAAACCACTGGAGGCTCCAGAGAATGAAGCTGTACTCGAAAGAAAATGTTGGCAGGACCTAGAACCCACCCACTTTCTTTTGTAATTTGATAGTGCCTATTGTATGGTTGACACAGTTCACATACAGTCCCCATCCCAAATTGTGGTCCAAATAATTGTTGATCTACTTGCAGATTCCTAAAAGTAAAATTTTAGGGTGAAATCCTGGCACACGAGACCCCAAATGCAGTCCTAATGTACAGTTTCACTCTGCAAGGTTTGGGGAGGCTGTGAAGAGCCCGCACAAGGGGACTTAGAATGCTCTTTTGTACCACAAAGCAGGGCTCCAGTGTGACTCTGTGGGACTGGAGAGGGAGGTTTGTAGGCTGGCAGGATGTGGCTAGAGCAGGGGTGGGGGCTTCTGGCCCACAGGAAAATCAGTCAGGCAGGGAGCTGTGGGAGCTGGAGCTCTAGCATAGACTCCCCAATCCTGGGAGGGAGGAGCCCTGAGCCTCGGGAGCTGGATGCAGGCAAGCTGGGGACTGCATCTGGCTCCTGGGCCTTAGGTTCCTCAGCTTTGGGCTATAGTGTCATCAAACAACATAGATCCACTTGCCCCAAACACCACTGCAGTGGTGGAAATCTTAGGCAATCTGCTACAGAGGAGTCCCTTGCCCTAGCCACACAATGGGAAAGAGAGTTCTAATTTCAACCCCAATGGGGGTCCTCCACGCAAAGCTCTCTTACTACTCTTCTGGGCTGTGTCTACACTGGGCCACTTATTCCGGAAAATCAGCCGCTTTTTCGGAATAAGCTGCGAGCTGTCTACACTGGCCCTTGAATTTCCGGAAAAGCAATGATGCTCTACTGTACAAAATCAGCCGCTATTCCGGAAAAACTATTCTGCTCCCACTCGGGCATAAGTCCTTATTCCGGAACACTATTCCGGAAAAAGGCCAGTCTAGACAGCCCAGTAGTCTTTTCCGGAAAAAAGCCCCGATCATGAAAATGGCGATCGGGGCTCTTTTCCGGAAAAGCGCGTCTACATTGGCCACAGACGCTTTTCCGGAAAAAGGGATTTTCCAGAAAAGCAGCCTGCCAATGTAGACGCTCCTTTTCCGGAAAAACTGAAAACGGAATAGTATTCCGTTTTAAGCAGTTCCGGAAATTCATGCCAGTGTAGACACAGCCCTGGAGTTTACAGCAACTACAGAGATGTGTTAGTGTATGAGTTTTAGAGATATATTCTATGTATCTGTGCCCACATATATTCAATAGATTTTCTATTAATCATATTTAGTATATTCTACCGTTGACTCGAAGGATCACAAAGTGATGTTGTAGGATTGAAATATCTTCTGCCTGCATTCCCCTCGCTGAGAACACTTCCTTCTCTGTGTTCCATCCTCTAAATAATTTGCACATTTTCAAGGAAGGAGCCTGTCAGTGGGAAAGGTTTGCAGATCATAAATCCTTTTTTTTTCTGTTTTAAGAAACAAAACAATTAGTGTATGAATAAGTTATTTGTGTGTGAATAAGCCATCCATTCAGTTTCTCCTTTAATCTATCTGGTAGTTATGATTACTCTAAATTGAAAAAGAATCTTTAATACTCAGTGATTGTGTTTCATATAGTGCTGCGCTTGGCTTCCAAGCAACTGTTTAAGTACAATGACCAATAATTACAAGTGATTTTGCAAGATCCTGCCAACTAGACCTTGAGTATGCGACGGTTGGGATTCAGGTTCCATTTGACCAGTATCTCCAAAGCTTGAGAAATTTAGGATAAAATGTTTCCTGCTCAGTTGCTAGTGTCTGCACTGGGGACTATATGTGATGACCATAGGTGATATCTGAATTCTGTCAAGTTGTTGCTGTTGTTTTATCCTGCAATAATTGTATCAGGTCATAAAGTTTTGAGAATGAATTTTGCAACCCATTCAGGGTCCCTTGTAAGGTTTTGATATTAGGCATCAAATACAAAAAGCTTCATTTTCTTTAAAATGGTTTCGTTAAAAACCATGGGCAGGTGTTAAAACTTGATCCCAACACATCTTGCAGAATGGATGGATATTGCTTGGTCCCATCTCTACTGATTTTCATTCCTACAGTGTGCCTCATTTACAGTCTTAAAATAGCAGATGTTATTTTCAAAGATGCTTTGATATTAAACAGCGGATCTTCTATTTTTGACTATGTATTTCAGTTAATATACCAGTTAATTAATAGTGTTCCAAACCATTGTTGTTCCAGTCTGAGCTCCCAATCTTCCCATTTGGTGGATGACTGCTTCTCACTCCTGTATACACCCTTGTGTGATGGTAAGACCATCCCCCCACTAGGGTGCTTCAAAGGGAATCTCTGCCTAAGGGGGCTTTTGGGCAACCATATTGTCACCACCCTCTATTCTGTCACATGACTGAGTAATAGTAGAGTGCTGAAGGCTGTGTCTAGAGATACTTTATTGAGAGACATTTGTCAGTGTCTTTGGTCTCTGTGTGACTGAGACATGACTCCAGGCCTGTGACATGACCCCAGAATACTGTTTTTTCCCTCATTGAAGTTGGTTTTGTGTTTTCCTGGCATGTCCTATGAATTTCTGCATTTTGGATGTCATCTGTTTGTCAAAATCTTGAGCACCCTTGTCTCTTTTCTGTTTGGATTTTCCCTGTGGGAACATCTACACAGCAGTGTTATTTCAGAATACCATGTGTTGTTCCGAAATAACTATGCGAGGGTCTACACAACAAGGCTAATTCCCAGGCTTCCTTGTAGTATAGATGTGCTATTTCAAAATAAGCTATTTTGGAATATTTCTTCTGGAATAGCTTATTCCAAAATAATCAAGCAGCGTAGACGTAGCCTATGGGACTTGTTGCATTTGTTTGAACAAAATATCTTGTCAGTTCCATTACCTTCATTTTACCAATTCTAAATATGGTAAGGATTGTAACCAGAACTTATCTCGGAGGAATGCTGACAAGCCAATGGTGTCAATATGAGGCAACAGATGCAAAAGCCAGAGATAGTCTATAACTAGAAAATTCAGAACATCACCAGAAGCACACGAAAGTTCGATGGTTTGGGTTGGGCCTTTCAAAAACTGATCCTGGTTCAGACTTTTAATACCCCAGAATCTGATGTATTTAGAGCTCAGGTGTTGGCTTGGACCCATATGTATGTAAAACTTCGGGAAAGTTTGATCCTTCCTTCTCTAGAAAGGGAAGCATCCACTTACCTTAAACATGAATTGCCCCAGAGAACATGACTCTTATGAACACTAACAGTTAAAGAGAGCAACGGAATAAAATTCCTTTGGCTTCAGTGGGAGCAGGAGCAGGCCCCAAAGGTTTTATAGAACCATCTTGTAGCAATATTCTGATTTTTATCACAACCACAGATATTTAAGTGTCAAAATATGGCCAAGCCACCTGCAAATGTTTTCAATGGCCAGAGTCCAATGAAAACAACAAATAGCACTGAAAGTCTGTGTTCAGACCCTGCACTTGGGCTGTATTCCAGAAAGAGAGGCTGGGACCCACCTGTGCCCACGCACATTTTGGTTCATCCCGGGAAGTGGGCGTGCTCACAACAGCTGGGATTGTTGACGGGATGTTGTTTGTCCTCCTTCCTCTCCCTCCCATCTCTGCCCCATGCTCAGTCTCCAAAGCCTTGCAAATAAAATGAGCTATAGACACAAGGCATGGAAAGCATGACAGGATGAGGATAGTTAAGAAAGGCTTCTTGAGACGATATATTCACACTGGTGTTAAACAGATGCCACCACTGAACAGGCACTGAGCCAAATCAATCCGAAGTGTGCAGGAACATGAAGAGCAATAACTTTAAAAATGCAGGGTATTGACTAATATTTTGCCCACCATATACCCAGTTGAGAACATACAGCAGTATTATTATTGCAACAAGCTGGCAGGCAGGGATAAACATCCAAGATATATTTATGTGGTTAGGCAGTCCTTACCCAAGGGGAAAAGAATAATGTGGGAGGAATCCTTTAACTAGTAACTACTTGTGCTAAAGAAAATCAGGCGAGGAACACTTAACAGTGAAGAGTGTCTTTGGCTGATTAATAGCACATTGTTTGGAGATTAGCTGCACAGTGTCAAAACAGTAAGACATACCCAGTGAGGGGAGAAAAATGA